CCAATGAAGACCATAGGCTGGCATTATGACATTATAATAAAGTAACATCCTACAATCTTAGAGAAGAATGTATAAAAGCTGTCACTGGGGCGGTACCCTTACAAAAGCTACACCTTTGTACCTTATTTACCTCAAATTTTGCAACCGACTAGTCTAACCCCGTCCCCTGGAGGCAGTCTTTATATGCAATCCATTTGAAATAGACTATTTAATCTATGAACAGTCAAATCCCATACTGAATGTCGCTAAAAACAGGTCAGATAGGCTACATGCAATGTGCTTGTCTTGCATTATGATCATTGTATATAAAACTTTATACTTAAAGCAACGTTAGAATTTTTTTACGTTAGCGCTTTTACTTAAGCAACGTTAGCCATTATAGACATATTGATTCAAATTAGCTGAATCAATAAGCAGGGCAGGTCCAATAAGTTCAAACCCAACAGCCTATTATAAACAGATTTCCTCAAATAAAAGTTAGTCCACATAAATCAGCACGTTATGGTATTGTTATGGTATAATTAGTGCTGTCAAACGATTAAAATATTTAATCGCGATTAATCGCTTTAATGTCATAGTCATCGCAATTAATCGCACATTTTTATCTATTCTAAATGTCTCTTGATTTCTTTTTGTCCTCTTATTTTTTCTCATTTTAATGCTCTTATCAACATGGAAAAGTGGATCGGCTTGCTTTGTGAAATGTTTTTTTTATTGAAAACAACATTGCAATACTGTGTTCAATTTCACACTAACATTCTCACTTGGAGCAAATAATCTCTCACACAAGGTAACACTGTCCATCAATAAAAGGGTGAAAGAAATACTGATGAGGTTCTGATATTGACGAGGGGGCGGAGAATTCGCATAAGCTGTGTGTGTGTGTGTGTGTGTGTGTGCGCTTGGCCATCAAGTGGTATTTCAGACTGGACTTGCTGCAATGACGATAGCTCAGTTCACAACGACAAAACACACAGATCACTTTGGTCTTGTCAATGGAACCATTTGGCAACTTTTTAAAAGTAAACTTTCCATTCAGAATCTTATTGGCATCCATTTCGGCGTTTGCGTTAACGCCGTTAATAACGCGTTTAACTGACAGCCCTACTTATATAATAATATAATGATTTTAAGATGTAACATTAACATGACAGTAATTTAAACATAGCCTTTGTAAAAAAAATATATATATAAAGCAAAACATTAAATGTACCAAAAAAAAAAAAGTATTTCCAAGTTGACTAGCAGCAGCATTATCATTTAGTTGGCTAGTCTCGCACATCCCTAGTATTTACAAGATGATCTCTCCTTTGTATCTTTGAAACTATATTTTTTTGCATATTTAATATATATATATATATATATATATTGCATATATTTGGGCCTATGCAATTCATTGTAATATTAACAAATGCCAGTATTAGATTTTTAAGATCCTTTTTTCCCCTCTTGAAAAATAAACAGTGGAACTGTGTTTGTTTGCCACTTGATATCAGGCCCGGAAGTAAAATCAAGTGCAATTCCTCATCCTCACTGATCCCACTGTGTCTATCTACCTTTTTTCCCAATAACATTTTTGAGTGAAATGTTTTCCCTGTGTGCATGTGATTGTCTCATTTCACACTCCTTCAGCCTTCCTTCCATCTTTCCTTAAATAAACAGGCCATGTTTCTGTCAACCTATCGGCGTTGGCTCAATCTCTCTATCTCTCTTTCTCTTTCTCTCTCTCTCTCTTCTCTCTCTCTCTCTCTCTCTCTCTCTCTCTCTCTCTCTCTCTCTCTCTCTCTCTCTCTCTCTCTCTCTCCCTCTCCCTCTCCCTCTCCCTCTCCCTCTCCCTCCTCTCTCTCTCTCTCTCTCTCTCTCTCTCTCTCTCTCTCTCTCTCTCTCTCTCTCTCTCTCTCTCTCTCTCTCCCTCTCCCTCTCTCTCTCTCTCTCCCTCTCTCTCTCTGTGTGATGTGTTCTGTGAGATTGATTCTGTGCTCCTGTCCCTTTAATGTCATTTAAATGTTTCTGTGGGCGCTTTTTCCCTCTGCCAAAAGCCCGCCTCAGAACCCGATGAGGTATCAACAATAATATAAAAAAGAAAGGAGCAATTTCCTGCAGTAACCATAGCGAACGCTTTGCTGCATGATGCGGATGCTTGCTTTACCCCTATGGGGGTTGCGGTCTCCATTCTAATGATTAAAGCAGGAACACGAGCCTGCAAGGCTTTTTACAATATTACACATGCAAGTTCAAAGTGTGGCCAACACTGTGGCAAATCCCTTAGTCTAATAGCACATGCATATTAAAATGTAAAAAAAAAAAAATCTCATTCAAAGTTTGGGTAAGGTTGAAGAGCCAAAAAAAAAATTTGCTCATAAATCACATTTTACTGAGTGCCAGAAGCCTGTTTCCGGTGCAGTGCGTTTTTTGGTACTGTAGGTCCTTATTAATTGAGGAATGTATAGCGCTGTTAGATCCAGCACAAAGTGAAATCAGCAGCCCTTTTGCCCTGTGGCTAACACAGTTCAAACACTAGAAAATGTTTCATAACACAGTTCAAACACTAGAAAATGTTTCATGAAAACAGGAAATAAAAGGCAAGGGTTGGAGATTAGAGGCAAGATGGAGGGAGAAGGAAAGAAACATGATGGAGTGAACGAGGAAGTTAAACGAGGAGGGGCAGACAGTATGTGCAAACAGAAAAAAATAGCTCGCTAAAAGGTTGACCAAGCCGGAGGAAAAGAGGGAGTAGAGTAAATTGAAAAAGAAATGGTCCATAAAGGTGAAGAGATGAGGCTTGTAGAGATTTAGTGGAGAGGCCTGAAGATTTCACTCCAGCTAACAGGCCTGAGGGAGGAGGGGGTTTCAATGTGCTTCAATGTTCTGTGCTTTCACTGTGAAGGTTGTATTAATTGAGTGGCCCAATTCATGGATTATAATGTTTATTAATTTGTTGATGTTACATTGTACAGCTTATGAAAACCCCAAATTCAAAATTAGAATATTGTGAAAAGGTTTTCATAGCTGTAAGCCATAATCATCAAAATTATAACAAATAAAGGCTTGAAATATCTCACTTTACATGTCTATATAATATATTAGTTTCACCTTTTAAGTTGAATTACTGAAATACATTTTTCAAGTTTCACCTGTATACATCTAAAATCAATATTATGTTGTTTCATGATGATTGGTGAATATTTACAACAAGATTTGCTTTTGAGATTTATCATTATTAGTGGTGTTTGCTAAGGCATCAACCCCAAACACCGCTAATAATGGAACATATATCTGTAAAACTAATCTTGTTCCTGAATTTGAATAGGAAACATTAAATACTCACATAAATAAATCCGAAACCCTCAACATTAAACTTCAGCATGGAACGCATTCTGCTAGCAATCAGCAAACTACATTGCTACACTATCATTCAAAAGTTTGGGATTTTTTGATATTTTTAAAAAACAGTAATATTGTAAACTTTGTTTAAATTAACTTTTCTATTTTAATATATTTGTTTGTTTATTTTTTCTGTTGATGGTCAAGCTGAATTTTCAGTATCATTACTCCAGTCTTCAGTGTCACATGATCCTTCAGAAATCATTCTAATATGCCTATGTCACACTTCCTGCTTCCGGAAAGCGGAGTAGGGATTCAGAACTTCCGGTCAACAGTATTTCTCTATAAGGATTTAGATTATCAGCCATAATGTCTAAACCATCCGAGGTAGACTGACCACGAGCTATGAGGTTGTGAAACGAAGGTGTTTGCTCCTGTAGAAGCTATAAGTTCGTATGAAATCACCTTTGTTTTAAGGAAAACATGTTTTATCCGCGATCGTATGAAGAAAAAAAACTACACTACCCACAATCCTAAGCGTAGAAGCAACGTCTGCTGATTGGTCCAACTCGCTGTTACCATATAAACTTTTACCTTACTGGTGAACGGCTAGAGCTATAACATATTATCAAAGAATTTGCTGACTTTCTATCAGAGTTAGTACTGACTGCAGATAAAGTCCTAATTGTTGGTGATTTTAATATGTAGATAACGAAAAAGATGCATTGGGATTGGCATTTAAAGATATTCTTAACTCTATTGAAGTTAGACAACACATGTCAGGACCTACTCATTGTCGTAATCATACTCTAGATCTAATATTATCACATGGAATCAATGTTGATTCTATTGAAATTCTGCAGCAGAGCGATGACATCTCAGATCATTATCTAGTTTTGTGTAAACTTTAGTGGCAGAAGACCTATAACTTCTGCCACTAAAGATTGCTTTATTAATAATCTTCCTGATCAGTTTCATCATCTCAGCATCCTAGCTTAGAAGAACTCGATATTGTGACAGAAACTTTTAACTCTCTCTTTTCCAGCACTTTAGACACAGTTGCTCCGTTGCGCTTAAAGAAGATTAAAGAAAATAGTCCAACGCCGTGGACCAAATCTCTGCAAATCTCTCCGCAACCTGCCTGAAGTCACATATGACGATGTGGTTCGGATGGTAAATGAAAACTCTCAAGTGGAAACATCAAAACTGAGGATAGGGTACAAGTGTTGTTATAGCTCTAGCCACTTGGTCCAGCGGTATCTATCGGACTCCGCCATTGTAAAAAGCTAACCGGAAGAGCCGCATCCCTACTAAAAGACGTACTTCCAGTTTTAAATTTTTTTATGACATAGGCCTATATGATGATTTGCTCCTCAAAAACATTTTTTAAAACAGTTGTGCTGCTTAATACTTCTATGCAAATCATGATACATTTTCTTTAATGAATAGAAAGTTCAAAAGAACAGCATTTATTTGAAAATTAAATCATTATAAATGTATTTTATTTGTCACTTTTGATCAATATAATGTGTTTTTGTTGAGTAAACATTCATTAAAAAAATATGTACCGTATATATTACTGACTCCAACATTTCTGACAGTTCTGTACATAGCATATTGGTAGCAATTTTCCCACAGGTAAGCACCTTCTTCAGAAAATGAAAAAGTATATTTTTGTGTATTATTGCATTTACGTGTCTGCTGAAAAACATTAGCCTTAACATATGCTTCCTCACATGGTTCGAGCGCATCAGTATCATGGTGATCCTGCTGAACTGCGTCACTCTGGGAATGTACCAGCCCTGCGAGAACATCGACTGCACCTCAGAGCGCTGTCAGGTTCTACAGGTCAGTATGAACACATATAGTCCTGCACACAAACTAGCTCTTTTTCAAAACCTTGTTGGCAACCTACTAAGGCAGTATTGTAAATGCCATGGAACAAAATAGTCAGTCATTCTTTTTTCTTTTCTTTTTTGTTGCCTTGTAGGGGGAGGGGGGCTTTCATTGCACAGCTTAAACATGTACACACAAAATGTTTATGAAAATAGCAACAAAATTGCTATTAAAATGCCTCAAAATAGCAACGTGCCAACACACCTCGTTTTCAGACCAGCATGCCATTGCCGCACAAATAGGCGCAAATGCATTTGCTATGTAAACAACGTGGAGCAGGACGTGAAAATGATAACTGCGTTGGGCTGAAACTAGCTAAAGACACTTGCGTCGCTCCTGGCGTTGAGTGTATGATAGGGCCCCAAGTCTGCTTTCTTGTTACATGTCACGTGACGTGAGTGACAGTGGAACGCGGTAAATGAGGAAGAGAGAGGAGAGTGATCCGGATTTTTGACTGAGTCATTCGCTAGTCTCTGGCCCGATTGGGGAATTAATAGTGTTTTGTTTTACACTGTGTGAGTGTGACCAATAAGTTTGACTGATATAGCATCTTGGATTGTTGTAAAGTAAATAAGTGAACACGTGAATGCAGCGTAATCTGAATACAGGGAAATGCATGCAAGTGAATCGCCATCATTTAGAAAGAAGATCGCATTTATGTATGAATTGAGATCGCAATTTTTGGTTCGATTAATCGTGCAGCCCTAGAACTAATCCATTTGAGTCAGTTGTTTTCAATTAATTTGTATGATCCATTTGACAAAACTGTCATTTTTAAATGACTCTTTTGTGTTCAACTCAGTGACTCGATGATTAGATTAGAATCACTCATATGGGTTTTGAGCAACATGAAAGGGAGTAAATAACTTTCATATTCAGATATCAGACAAAATATATTCATATTTTCTTATCAATGTATGCAATATAAACACTCCCTTTATCTTATAAATAAAACAGGGCTCACGACACATCAATATGAGATGCATTTATTTGCTCCTGTTCTTGAAGGGATCATAGAGATGGTTGTAGGTTGGTGATTTTGACTTCTGTCTACACTACAGCCTCTGTTTGTGCAACACCCTCAGACATATTGCATCAGTATTCATAAGCCTTATGTTTACAATAATCAAGGCACAGACCAATTTGATTTGATGCAAAAGCTTACTGCATAGTTCACCCAAAAAAATAAATATTCTTTCATTATGTATGCACATTCTTGTCATTCCAAACCTGAATGACTTTCTTTCATCTGTAAAATATATTTGAATGTTTTGGCCATACAATGGAAGTCATTGGGGTCCAAACAGATAAAAACACTGAGACATTTTTCAAATATGGTCATCCTTTCTGCTGAAAAACATGAGTAATTTTCTTTTTTGGGTGAACTATCCCCTATATTTTTACAAGGATGAAACAAAGCGCTGTCATCTTATAGCCCTCTAGTCTGAAAGAAGAAAAGTTATCGAGATCTTCTCCTAATTACTAGGCTTTCCACCAATTTGAATTTGAGTTTTATTGCAATTCTCAATAACTTCCTACAGTGCATTGCCCAATTAAGAGATAATGCTGACTGTGCTGATGGCTTACCTTACATCTCTGGCTTACCTGTGGAAGTTGCATACGTTAAGGCAGGCCAGAGGCATCAGACAGCAGCTTTACCTTCTCATAGGTGCAGCTGAAATAGAGCGAGAACCATGACTCAATGTTTTATCAGCCAAGATGGCTGACAGTACTCCCTCAGTGAGCTCTCGCTGTTTAAAGCTGTACCTTTATTGTGTAAAAAGAGTTTTGAAGAGAGAAATGCAAATGAAGGTCTGCAATGCGATATTTCTCACATTAGCTTTTTGGATTGACTGCAAAACAAAAAGACGGGGTTGAAATGAAAACTGTGTGGGCAGGAACGAGAGTCTGTCTCTCTCCTACTTGCTGTGTGTGTACGGACTCGTATAGAGAGCCATATGTCATGTATGGCGTGTGGAAGAAGGTAGCTTTAGAGGAAGCATCCTCTTGGCGCCAGGATGTTTGCGTCCTCTGGTCCCACAGGGGATCTTAAACCAGTGCTGTTTTGTGCTCGCATGCACCGGTCGGTTTCAAACTCTCCGTTTCTCGTTCGGGCTGCCATCCAAATTGGCATCGCTGTACAATAGCCTCCTCCCTGTATCACACATACACACACTGTAGTGTGAAACAAAACCTGTATCAGCTCTACTTGGCAACTGGACATGCAAAGTGACTAAGAGCACAACGTAACAGACATTCTTTTTTTCTGCACACGTGTGCAAGAAAATTACACTTCTCACATCTCTATAATTGTCCCCGCAGAGTCGAACTTAAAAACTAAATGAGAGAAAGCCATTGATGAGGGTGATTGTGGCCTGACTGGTCTGTGTAATCAGTCATTGAAATCCCATCTATCTGTGGTGTCGTAATGAGAAAGCAGCAGGGCTTTGACAGCGACAATCACACGTCGTAGTGTTTGTAAGGAGCTAATTAACAGCCCTATTAAAGTCTGTGTACTCGCGCGACTCAATTGTTTATGAAAGAAACGCTTTCTTTCAAGTCGATCATCTGCTCTGATCGTCAGTCATCTCAGTGTCGGTTGGGAAATTAGATCTGGGGTGGGTCGTCCAGGGTCAGGTGAAGTGAACAGGCTGGGTAGTTGACTGGACTTCATAATCAATTGTTCATTTACACAAGGGTTCTTGAGGGACCTTTCGTTTCAGGCTCATTCAGCTTTTGACTTCTCTCAGGATCTCATTAGCTCTCATTGGCAGTCAGACATTGTTTTAGAAAAACTTTGCTGTGCAACACATAGCTAAGTATTTCGGTCACTATGTCCTTCCTAGAGCAAAATTAGCATTTTCATTCAGTCTGTCTGTTTTTGTTTTGTCCAGGTGTGTCTTATAATGTTATAATAAAGTCAGACAGGTGTGTCTGACTTTAGCTGCATAATTTCACACAGCTAAAGTCAGACCATTCTGTAATTGTCTTGAAATGATGCAATCTAATTTAAATATAAAACAACTTATCATTGGATCGTGATTAAAATGCAGTGGTTGTCTCTAGTGGTGCCCTCGACTAAAATTTTTCTAGTCGACTAGTAGTCGTTAATTTAAGCGATCAGTCGACTAATCGCATGTGTAGACTATATTAATATGCCAAATCATAATAATGAGCCTTTAATTGCCTATACATAGCCTAATCAGTGCTCAAGCGCACGCATAAAGCTTGCCACAGTCCACCGGCTAAAGTAATGATTATGAATGTGTCATGAAAAAACAGCAAGGAGACTGTCTGAAGTCTGAACATTTTAATAATTTATAGATAAACTAGTGTTTTCTGTGTTTTTGGCTGCAGTGATGAAGTTTACGATGCTGCCTCGTCATCTCCGCAATAGTGCATGCACCTATTTGCACGTTTCATAACATAATCTGAGAATATTTGTTTTCCATTTGAATCGGCTCATTTAAAAATAGAAATTTCAAGGCGGCAGAAAGCTCATCCTGATTGTTTTGTTTATTTACAAAAGCACAACGTTTAGTTATTGTAAGTGCACACAAATAAAATGAGTCAGTTTCGAATGACGTATTGGGCTAGTCTTGATGTAAGACCAAAAATGACGGAGTAATGTAAGTTAAATGCCAGTGATCACACCGGCGCCTACATGTCATTCAAGTGCTCTATACTTCAGCTTCCACACTCCGCACAAACACTTGGATATGCACCTAATAATAGTGTACATTTGTATATAGGTTAACGTTAGAGCAAGAAGCCATGTCAAGTTTCTACTACTTACATGTTTCAAATGATAAGCCATATTTGAGGTCGATGTCTTCCTGCACATACTGTAATTACTGTTAATGATCTGTCTCTCACGGCCACAAGGTGTTTTTTTTTTCTTTGACTAATTTTTGTTCGACTAATGCCGGGTGCACACTGATTTATAATAGTCCTTTACGATTGTTGCTTGTCAGACTGTACGAACATGATCATCGCTGTAAGCCATGTCACACTGTAAGATCTCAGTTGTCATTAATGTCAGACTGTACGACAGTCAAGACACGTTAAAAACGGACGCATGTTTTACATCATCAATCAATGACACGTACAGTGAAAGTGAGATGCATTACACGCGGGATTGAAATGGCGGCTACAAAGAAATCTCTAACGTTAATTTTAGTCATGGCTTGTCTTGAAAAACGAAGACAATTTGACGGTCGTCGTAGGAGAAGTCACACTGCAGGACTGTGAGTCAAATCTTCTGACACTGCCAGAATTTCGTCTGAGGAAAAATTTGATTGCAACGGTCATTAATCGGCTGTCGGTAAACATGTCAAACTAACGATCAAAGACTTCAGATTTTAGCCTAGGATCAGAGGAATCTTTTTGGATTAGCTAAATTTGTCTCAGACGGCCAAATCGCAGCCAAAATCGCACAGTGTGCACCCGGCTTAAGCCTTCATTAAGGGGCAGCCCTAGTTGTCTCTAATTTCAAAAGACTACAGATGTTTTTATTTATTCATCTTATTTTAAGGCAAGTTTGGCCTGTTATAGAGCAAATAAACAAAAAATAAATTTACTTCGTCAGCCGGTATCGGAATTGGCCAATTTGCTTTAAAAACCAAAAAATGGAATTGGCCATAAAAAAATCATGATTGGATCACAACCATTTTCATTTCTCTACAAAACGTGGTGTTTTTAAATAAAATAAATATTTTAATATGTACACATTGTAGTTGTGGTGCTCCTTAATTTCCGGTCCATGGGTGCATAATCTATCGTTGCATAAGTTAATATAATCTGTTCTCCTGTCTTGTCTGTCTTTTTGTCTATCTATTGTTCTCTTTTTCTATCTATCATTCTCTCTATATCGTTCTATTTGTCAGACAGTGACTTTCTGAGTTTCCTCTCTCCTGAAAAGCACTAGCCGTCTCTCATTTACAATAGGAATCACAATTGGTGGAAACAATATATCCTCACATTGTGTCTGCCGCTTGTTGATTCTGTGTCTGCCGCTTGCAAATTTATTTAATTTTTTATTTAAATAATTATTTGTTATTTTTTATCATTATCATTAAGAATTTATTTCATTTACAAATTGAAATTAAAAATGGGTGGTATTGGGGAAGCACATTCTCATTCTAGAGAGCATCTAATTGGACAAATATATGCAGTGTTTGTCAACTTTTGGGAATACACTATAATGATAGCTAAATAAGGACTCAAAGCCACAATACTCTAGATTTTTTTGTGTTATACAAGTGTCTTTATTGATCTCTCTCTGTCTTTTAGGCATTTGATGCATTTATCTACATTTTCTTTGCACTGGAGATGGTGGTGAAGATGGTGGCTCTAGGGATCTTTGGCCATCGCTGTTATCTTGGCGATACTTGGAACAGACTGGACTTTTTCATCGTCATGGCAGGGTAAGGGCACTTGTGTTTTCTTTCAACCTTCCCTGACATACCATTCATTGTAGCTGCAGGTGAATCAGGGGCTATAGTGACCCTATATATAGTGAGTGGGTTTATCTTTTCTAAGTAGAGACTTCTGCATTCTGTGAACTGTATTAACGAACATTTCAATTCAGTTGTTATGAGAAAATGGCTCATGTAGAATGACTAAATGTTTAGCCTATATTGTGAAGTTCATCTCCAAGAGACTTGTACTTCATGTTTACATCCAGAATGCCCTTGATGGGCTTTTCATGTGTTCTGTTGTACGTATGTCCTGGCCAAACCCTTCAGCTACAGTCCTTCTCTCACTTAGGTTGTGTACAAGCATCCTATGTGTTGTTTTGATGCTGTTTTCAAAATCTCCCAGTGTTTTCAGTGCCAAAAAGAGAAGTGAAAACTGCTATGAGAGTATTAATTTACCAAACTTTTCTGTATATTTCTCTGTGGAGGACATCAAAACAGAAAGGAGAAGCATTGGATCAACAGGACAGACCTGCTAGAGCTAGATAAACGTGTTGTAATTTGTTATATATACACATATTCTCTCTCTCTGGCAGACTATCCACACTTACAGGAAACAAACACTAGGGTTGGGAACCGAGAAGTGTTTTTTTCAAAAATACCGGAACCGTGCGAAATTCCTGAGTTTCGGTTCCGAAAACGGTTCTGATGCGATGTGTGGACGAAGTGCTGGGAGCTTATCCTTTAATAGCGACGTCTCACCACATGAATATTAAAATTGTAATGAATGCACTGTCCCTCGCACTATTCGTATAACAAGTTACATTTTTTTTTGCGTCAGATATCAACACAGAGAGAGAGAATAAAGACAGAGCTGCACCATTAATCTTTAAACAATCTCGATTCAAACACCCACGCGATCTTATTCCTAAATGACAAAAACTTCACACCGGGACATTCAAATCTGTTTGCGCTGTCGCTGACCCAGAGAGAGCAGTTCTACATGAAACAGCTAGCTTTACTTTCAGTCTTTTCAACAACACAGTATCGATATTTCTGTGTTAAAAATATTCAAATGATCACAGAAGTACTGAGATAAAAGTTTATAGTTCGAGAATAAACACTGATGTCTACTGTAGCAACCAAAACAGTTAATCACCTTTTGAAAGTCGCTTCAAATAACAAAAATTCGCTTCAGAATTTACAAAATGTATATAATGAGCGATTACATCATGAATGCCTTTTTTCAAAACGTGTTTTTGTCTTATCCTGAATCACTACGGTAAGGCTGTAATAAGCGTTTAGACTCGGACTACTTTACACTGGTCGGTTCGGCACTGCTGCGGAGTAGCCCAGTGCCTGCGTGCATAAACATAAACATAGAGAACTAGCTCCGGCTACAATGTTCTTCCGCAAGACGCATGCATTTCTGTTTATTAACTGCTAGAGCACTTTAATCCAGTAAGGAAACAAGTGAAGTTTTTATGAATCAATCATTCAAACCGATTTAAAAAATATTATGTTTCACCTGTCTGGATCTTACATGTGTGTTCAAGCATATTCTACTCCTTCTGAGAGGGTATTCCACTGCTGGAGATACAATAAGATATAGGAGAGGTCCCAAATTATCCTTGAGAATGCAATATTTTTTATTTTCCTTCAGAAAAAATTATTGCTAAATAATATGTTGCATTGTTGACATTGCCATTCTGTTAAACTCATTTGACAAGTATCAGAAATAAAACACAAAAAGGATTGTGTATTTTCCCCGTACTACTATTTGTATTAGTTGTTTTAATAATTTTTATTGAATGGGAACCGGAACCGGAACCGTAATCGTTTGGCGGAACCGGAATCGGAACCGGAACCGAAAAATTTCTTACGATTCCCAACCCTAACAAACACTCATAGGTTAAGAAGCTGAACAAATTGGAACACAGCCAATGTTATACAGGTTGTTAAGTTTGTATTATATACTACCTTAATTGGCCATGAGCAATGCTTCCCATAACAATATTTATTTCTCTTCATAGAGCACATTAAGCTTTTCTTTTCTACATGCATGTTAATTTGCATGTTAATTTGATTGCACATTTAAGTGTGTTTTTAAGTGCAATAGGGTAGTACAGGGTTTGTGTCAGTGAGCAGCCCTAGGCTGCTCTCAGGTTTGGCAGGATTCGCTGATTGAAAGATTAGACTCATTAGAACATGATGGGCATTAATGTGGCCTTGCCTAATGACAGACATTAGGGGCTGTTCACGCAGAATGCGTTTTTTCCATCCCAATGCTCTACTTTTCTATGTAAACGCACTAAAGGGACGTGTATTTAAAAATGAAATCCTGATGGGACATTTAACTAACGTAAAGTCATTTGTACTTTTTGAATGGTGGAATTTAAAAAAGCGCCAGAGCTCAACAAGTATGAAATATCACCCACGAGCAAATACAACACCATTAGTGCACATTTTAATGAGAACCTGTGACTTCCAGGCGACGAAGACATGTTTAACCAAGTAAAATCGAAATGTTTCTAAGTACCCCCTGAGGTACTTGCACACCTGGTTGGTAAACACTGGATTAGAAGCCCTGTTACGTCAAGTCCTCTACTGTGTGTGTTTTCTGTGTGGTGGGATGTCTGTGTTTTTGTGTGATATGTTCTAGCCGACTCTTGGCTAATCCTTCTGTTGTGTTGTGGGTGAAGTCAGTGAGGCTATCTCTAACTACACACCCAGATTACATGCCTCTTTCTCCCCATTTTCCCCTCCCTCCCTCTCTTTCTCTCTCACACACAGCCTCAGCTCAGATTGCCTTACTGCCTTTTTTTAGTCACTCTCTCTCTCTCTCTCTCTCTCTATCTGTTTTTTTCTCTCTTCCATCCCCACACCCACAGAAGAATCATCATTTTTGCAGTCTCATTTCACAAGATGCACACAAAAATACACACACACACACACACATATACACCCCACACATTAACACTAGAAGACGGTACATGAAAGTGAGGGAGATGAAGGGAGAACCGGAAAAAGAGGCTGCAGCAAAGTAGTGAACAATTAGAGAGAGGCTGCCCGTCGGCAGGTAGCTAATTACTCTCACAGACACACACTCTGATTGATGTGCACTGAAACAGCCAAGATCTCTCTCTCTCTCTCTCTCTCTCTCTCTCTCTCTCTCTCTCTCTCTCTCTCTCTCTCTCTCTCTCTCTCTCTCTCTCTCTCTCTCTCTCTCTCTCTCTCTCTCTCTCTTCATTCTGAGCCTCTGTTCATGATTTGCCTCTGTTTATTTATGTCTCTCCCGACAATACCTCACGTATGCTGTGACTTTTTTTCTTTCTTTACTTTGTCCCTCCCTCCATTGCTTTGGCACATTCCCTCACTGCTTGGCACAGCTTGGTTGATTTGTTATTCAATTATTCTGTTGAAGTTATACTAGACCCAGCTGAGGGGCCTGAGATATTGTAATGATTATATTTATGACATTTATCTGTCTGTACATTAATTTGTATATCCATCCATCCATCCATCATGTCATCTCTAATTTTAGTATTAGTGTTCATTTTGTCAGCTATTTATTAATTTAGTCTTAGTCCTCTGTCAAATGTACTTTTTAGTTTATATTTAGTCAACATTGTCCTTTTTTTTTGTCTAGTTTTAGTCAATGAAAACACTTTCGTTATGCTGCATAATAGTTAAACTGATAATGATTATTTTGCTCAAAATTATAAACGCAATGATTTCATCAGGTTTGAGCGATCTCTCCCGTCTCACTAGACTGTTACCCTTTCAACCAGAGCAACAGAGGGAGCTCATGAAAAGAAAACGTCTCTGGTTACTGGTGTAACCTATGTTCTCTGAATAGGGAACGAGACACTGCGTAGCTTAGGACGCAGTGGGAACGCCCTCTGGGTGTGCCGATTGTCTGAAGCCCTTATAGAATCACGCCAATTCATTGGCTGATGGCGCGGGCGCCGCCCCGACGCTCTTGCGTCGTCACATTATATTAGTGCGCGCACGCCATCTGCTCCTCAGATTTCTCTGCCGAAAAAGGAGCTTTTCGGCAGCGCAAGGAGCTTGGCAGCGAACGCAGCGTCTCGTTCCCTATTCAGAGAACATAGGTTACACCAGTAACCAGAGACGTTCTCTTTCATAGGTTTACTCAACGCTGCGTAGCTTAGGACGCAGTGGGAACGAAATACCAAACTCGCCAAGCTAAGCGCTGCCGTAACTAGTACAAAGACCAGATAACTCACACGACTGGTTCAAGCAGATAAAACTTGGGAACCTGGAGTCATGTCAAGATCCAAACTATAGAATCTGACAAAAGTGTGCGGAGAGGACCAGCCTGCCGCTACACAAATGTCTTCCAGGAGGGCACCTCTAAAAAGTGCTTGAGAGGAAGCCACGCCTCTGGTGGAATGTGCCCTGATGCTAAGAGGTGAAGGCAGACCGCGCACCTCATATGCCAGTGAAATAGCCTCTGTAACCCAGTGGGAAATTCTCTGCTTTGATGCGGCAAGCCCGCGGCGGCCAGCACCAAAACATACCAAGAGCTGGTTGGATTTTCTCCAACCGCCAGAGCGATCCACGTATAACTTCAATGCTCGGACAGGGCAGAGCAAATTAAGCTTCTTGTCCTCCTCAGAGACAAAAGGAGGAGGATGGAAAGAGTGAAGGTTAACAACCTGAGACCGGAATGCTGTTGACAATACTTTGGGCACATATCCCGGTTTCGGTCTCAAAGTCACCCTGACAAGACCAGGAGCGAAGTCTATACAAGTCTTGCTAACAGAAAGAGCTTGTAAATCCCCCACCCGCTTCAAAGAAGCCAAGGCTAACAAAAGAGTAACCTTGAGAGTCAGAATCCGCTCTGGAGCTGGCTCAAAGGGAGCTTCCGTTAAGCCCTCCAGGACGACCGACAGGTCCCAAGAGGGAATTCCAGGGGAGCGTACTGGTTTCAGGCGCCTAACCCCACGCATAAATGCTGAGACTAACCTCAATTTACCTAGGGG